CCCACCACTTTCGTATATCGCAAAAAGGAAGGATCCTTTGGGTTTAGGATTCTTTTCTAATAATGAATTAATTTGGACCACAAAAAATTATTTTTCCAAGACAAGGATTGACGAAACCCTTAACGAAAAAAAAGGAACTATTCATACATTTTGGAATCAAAAAAAGGAATGTAATTCCTTTATCATTTTGTCATCATCAAATTGTTTTCGAATGGACTTTTTTAACGGTGTAAAATCTCACAACGTCATAAAAGCCTCAATACAAAAGGATCCCCCAAGCCTTTATATTAATAATTATTTGGGTCCTTTAGGAACATACCTTCCAATTGTGAATTGTGATTCGTTAAATCGGTTATTAACTAATAATCTGAGTTTAGTCACTAATTATTTACAACTCGACAATATAAAACTGCTCTGTCAAGTATTCAATTTTAAATATTATTTCCTTGGGGAAAACAGGAAATTTTACAATTCTAATCCATGCAGTAACATTATTTTGAATGCATTTAGTTTGAATGTGTCTTTTCTTTACCAAAATCATTGGACAGCGACATCTAAAAGACTAAGTCTCGGACAGATTATTTGTAAAAATGTATATATAGAAAAAGAAATACCCGTTCTAAACTCGGGTCAAGTTATTCTTGTCAAACTTGACTCTGTAGTAATACGATCTGCTAAGCCTTATTTAGCTCCCCCAGGAGCAATTGTTCATGGCCTTTATGGAAAACCCCTTTTTGCCGGCGATACAGTAGTTGCTTTTAACTATGAAAAATCGAGATCCGGTGATATAACACAAGGCCTTCCAAAAGTAGAACAGGTATTAGAAGTGCGTTCGGTTGATTCCATATCAATGAATCTACAAAGAAGGTTTGTGGGTTGGGACAAATTTATAACCGGAATTCTTGGAATTCATTGGGGGTTTTTTATTAGTGCTGAGTTAACTATAGTGCAAAGTCGTATCTCTTTGATTCATAAGATCCAAAAAGTTTATCGATCCCAGGGGGTCCAGATTCATAATCGGCATATTGAAATTATTGTACGTCAAATAACATCAAAAGTTTTAGTTTCAGAAGATGGAATGTCTAATGTTTTTTCGCCTGGAGAACTTATTGAATTGTTGCGGGCAGAACGGATGGGGCGTGCTTTAGAAGAACCTATTTATTATCGAGCCATATTATTGGGAATAACAAAAGTATCTCTCCATACTCAAAGTTTCATATCGGAAGCGAGTTTTCAAGAAACTGCTCGGGTTTTAGCAAAAGCAGCTCTCGGGGGGCGGATCGATTGGTTGAAAGGCTTGAAAGAGAATGTTGTTTTGGGTGGGGTTATACCGGCCGGGACTGGATTCAGAGCATTAGTCCACCCCTCAAAACAATATAATAACAGTTATTTCCAAAAACAAAAAAACAATCTATTTAAGGCGGGGGTTCGAGATATTTTGTCTCCCCACAAAAAACTTTTTAAATAGTTCCTTTCAAAAAAACTCCGCAAGATATCACATAATTGATAGGATTTAGAAAGATTCCTAATAGCAAATTAATATCTTGTACGCTTTTTCAATCTCGCCGGTTTATTTAGCAATAGAAAAATAGAAAATAAGAATTATTGGGGCGTATATATTCTATATATATCGGCAATTTTAGTATTTTAGTATAATTTAGTATAGATGACTATAGAGGATAAGGTTCCGTTGGAACAAGTTTTTAATTCAATTCAAAATTCCTCGTTAATTTTTTTCTTCAACAGAATCTAAAATGGGGGGATCTATTTAAATGACAAAAAGATATTGGAACATCAATTTAGAAGAAATGATGCAGGCTGGAGTTCATTTGGGTCATGGTACTAGGAAATGGAATCCTAAAATGGCACCTTTTATTTTTACAAAGCGTAAAGATATTCATATTATAAATCTGATCGTAACTGCTCGTTTTTTATCGGAAGCTTGTGATTTGGTTTTTGATGCAGCAAATAGAGGAAAAAATTTTTTAATTGTGGGTACTAACAATAAAGCAGCTAATTTAGTAGCCCGAGCTTCCATAAAGGCCCGATGTCATTATGTTAATAAAAAATGGCTTGCCGGTATGTTAACGAATTGGTCCACCACAGAAACAAGACTTCAGAAGTTTAGGGACTTGAGAATGGAACAAAAAAAAGGGGGGTTCCATCATCTTCCAAAAAGAGATGCAACTGTGCTCAAAAGACAATTAGCTCGTTTCCAAAAATATCTGGGTGGAATTCAATATATGACAGGCTTACCCGATATTGTAATCATTATTGATCAGCACAAAGAATATATAGCCTTGCGAGAATGTATAACTTTAGGAATTCCAACAATTTGTTTAATCGATACTAATTGCGACCCCAATCTATCAGACATTTCAATTCCAGCAAATGATGACGCTATCTCTTCAATTCGATTGATTCTTAACAAATTAATATTTGCAATTTGTGAGGGCCGTTTTAGCTATATAAAAAATTCTTGATAAAGAAATTAAAAAATAACTAATAAAAAACTTACTTCAAAAATAACATAGATTCCTTTCATAAGTTAGATTTTTTGATTTGTTTCTATTATTCTATTAAAAAGGACAAGATCCAATTCAATTAGACAAATAGATTTTGGCATTAAAATAATTAAGGGGGTAATATGAATCTTTTTTTTTTTTCTAGCAATTACCCCATGGGGTTATACGAGATATCTGGTGTAGAAGTGGGTCAACATTTATATTGGCAAATAGGGAATTTCCAAGTACACGGCCAAGTACTTATCACTTCTTGGGTTGTAATTGGTATCTTAGTTGGTTCTGCTACTCTAGCTGTTCGCAACCCACAAATCATTCCTAATGGGGGTCAGAATTTATTTGAATATGTTCTTGAATTCATTCGAGATGTGAGTAAAACTCAAATTGGAGAAGAGTATGGCCCTTGGGTTCCTTTTATTGGTACGATGTTTTTATTTATTTTTGTTTCTAATTGGTCCGGGGCTCTTTTACCTTGGAAACTACTTAGATTACCTCATGGGGAGTTAGCCGCACCCACGAATGATATAAATACTACTGTGGCTTTGGCTTTAATTACGTCAGCGGCATACTTCTATGCGGGTATTTCAAAAAAAGGATTAGGTTATTTCGCTAAATATATAAAACCGACTCCGATCCTTTTACCGATTAACATCTTAGAAGATTTTACAAAGCCTTTATCACTTAGTTTTAGGCTTTTCGGTAATATTTTAGCTGATGAATTAGTAGTTGTTGTTCTTGTTTCTTTAGTCCCTTCAGCAATTCCGATACCCGTCATGCTTCTTGGATTATTTACAAGTGGTATTCAAGCTCTTATTTTTGCAACCCTAGCCGCGGCGTATATAGGTGAATCCATAGGGGATCATCATTAATATTAATTACTTTGAAAATGGATAAAATGAACTAATGGCTAATGAGGGCCTAATTGATTCATTATATCATTAACGATTTCTTTTTTTGTTACGTTTTGTTACGAGGAATTACTAATGAATCCACTTATTTCTGCCGCTTCCGTTATTGCTGCTGGCTTGGCCGTAGGACTTGCTTCTATTGGACCCGGAATTGGTCAAGGGACCGCCGCGGGTCAAGCTGTAGAGGGGATCGCGAGACAGCCTGAGGCGGAGGGAAAAATCCGGGGCACTCTATTGCTTAGTCTAGCTTTTATGGAAGCTTTAACAATTTATGGATTGGTTGTTGCATTAGCACTTTTATTTGCGAATCCTTTTGTTTAATTTAGAATGGTAAGACTAATAAAGAGACTCTTGAGGCTTTTTTTTTTTTCAAATTCTATTAAAAATGCCTCTTGGTATTACTTTATTGGTTGAGAAAAAAACCTTATGATACACACGAAATAATAATACTTATTCTATTTTAATTGCTTTCATCCTTTTCACTCGTAGTTTACTCGTAGTTTAAGGTTACTTTTTTTAGTGAGGCTTAGTAGATCCGCAAAATACACTAAAATAGAATGTGTATTTAATCTTATTTAATATTTAATTAAGAAGTTCTAAAGATTTATTTATTATTTATTTCATAAATTGAATAAAATAGAAATAAAAAACAAAGTGAAGTAAAGAGTGTTGTTTTATTTTAGTCTATACTATAAAAGAGGAGAATTTATGAAAAGCGTAACCGATTCTTTCCTTTCTTTGGGCCACTGGTCATCTGTTGGGAGTTTCGGGTGGAATACCGATATTTTAGCAACAAATCTAATAAATCTAAGTGTAGTTCTTGGAGTATTGGTCTTTTTTGGAAAGGGAGTGTGTGCGAGTTGTTTATTTCAGGAATAGGCTGGACTAACCAGCTGTACTCTTACTCTTTATTTTTATGAAAACTCGGAGAAAGAGGTGCATTATCTCGCGAATTACTTCTGAATAAATAAATTCTCTGTAAGAACCATAGCATTTCGTCATTTACTGGTAAATCAACTTTGATTCTCTCTCACCCAAGACTATGATACTATGAACATGGTTAAAAAAATCATTTGAAGTCAAGGCACTATATGGTACTCTTTCTATCACTATGTTCATTATAGAGATATTTTCAAAAATAATATTTGATCAATAGAGGATGCTCATATTGATTAAACTAAAGGAACCCCTTAATCTTTATTTTTTAATTTTTCACAAAGAAGGGAAATTTCCCCTGTTTATCCAAATCCAATGCTAAATTGACGGCCTGTGTTTATAAATAAGTAATAAAATCTTTTGAAAAAAAAAATAACTTTGCTGACAATTACCGATTTTTTGGTTGTTTTGTTAGAAGAGTCCTCATCTGTTTGGAATATTAACAAAGATAAAGAAGAAGGAAGAGAGGATAAGCTCAATGGAGTAATAAAGAACCAAAAAAACATATCATAATTCTTATGAAGTTTGATTTGAAGGAATTGAGCTTGAGAGCCAAATGAATTGAAAGATTCATGTTTGGTTCGGGAAGGGGTTTTTCTGTTTTGAAATCAAAGCAAAAAAAAATCTACTTTCATTAAGTGATTTATTAGATAACCGAAAAAATAGGATCTTAAATACTATTCAGAATTCAGAAGAACTGCGTGGGAGGTCTATTGAAAAACTAGAAAAAGCCCAAGCTCATTTATCTAAAGTAGAAAGGCAAGCCGAGGAGTTTCGACTGAATGGATACTCTGAAATAAAACGAGAAAATTTGAATTTGCTTAATTCAACTTCTAATATTTTAGAACAATTTGAAAATGATAAAAATGAAACTATTCTATTTGAACAGGAAAGAGCTATTCATCAAGTAAAACAACAGGTTTTCCAACAAGCCTTACAAAGAGCTCTAGAAACTCTGACTTGTTGTTTGAACACCGAGTTGCATTTACGTACTATTAGTACCAATATCCGCATGTTGAGCACACTTCAAGAAATAAAAGATTAGTCTTTAATTTTCTAGCGGATGGTATTATTTTTTTTTATAAGAATAATTTAAGAACGAATCATGGGAACGATCCAAGCCGATGAAATTAGGAATATTATTCGTGAGCGTATTGAAAAATATAATAGAGAGATAAAGATTGTCAATACTGGTACCGTCCTTCAAGTAGGCGATGGCATTATTCGTATTCATGGTCTTGGTGAAGTAATGGCAGGGGAATTAGTAGAATTTGAAGAGGGTACAATTGGCATTGCTCTCAATTTGGAATCCACCAATGTTGGTGTTGTATTAATGGGTGACGGATTGATGATACAAGAAGGAAGTTCTGTAAAATCAACAGGAAGAATTGCTCAGATACCAGTGGGTGAAGCCTATTTGGGTCGTGTTATAAATGCCCTGTCAAATCCTATTGATGGGAGGGGCGAAATTTCATCTTCTGGATTTAGATTAATTGAATCCCCCGCTCCAGGGATTATTTCGCGTCGTTCCATATATGAGCCTCTTCAAACTGGACTCATTGCTATCGATTCAATGATCCCTATAGGCCGTGGTCAGCGAGAATTAATTATTGGAGACAGACAAACTGGTAAAACAGCAGTAGCTACGGATACGATTCTAAATCAACAGGGTCAAAATGTAATATGTGTTTATGTAGCTATTGGTCAAAAAGCATCTTCTGTGGCTCAGGTAGTAACTACCTTACAAGAAAAGGGAGCCATGGAATATACTATTGTGGTAGCCGAAATGGCGGATTCCCCTGCTACACTTCAATACCTCGCTCCTTATACAGGAGCAGCTATAGCTGAATATTTTATGTATCGTGAAAAACACACTTTAATCATTTATGATGATCTCTCCAAACAAGCCCAAGCTTATCGCCAAATGTCTCTTCTATTACGTAGACCACCTGGTCGCGAAGCTTACCCAGGAGATGTCTTTTATTTGCACTCACGTCTTTTAGAAAGAGCCGCTAAATTAAGTTCTAAGTTAGGGGAGGGCAGTATGACTGCTTTACCTATAGTAGAAACGCAATCGGGAGATGTTTCTGCTTATATCCCTACTAATGTAATTTCTATTACTGATGGACAAATATTCTTATCCGCCGATCTATTTAATGCTGGAATAAGACCTGCTATTAATGTGGGTATCTCTGTTTCCCGAGTGGGGTCTGCAGCTCAAATTAAAGCCATGAAAAAGGTAGCTGGTAAATTAAAATTAGAACTCGCCCAATTCGCTGAATTAGAAGCCTTTGCCCAATTTGCTTCTGATCTTGATCGAGCTAGTCAAAATCAATTAGCAAGAGGTCAACGATTGCGCGAATTGCTTAAACAATCCCAATCCGCTCCTCTGACGGCGGCAGAGCAAATTATTACTATTTATGCTGGAATAAATGGGTATCTTGATTCATTAGAACTTGGACAGATCAGCAAATTTCTTATTGAGTTATATACTTACTTCAAAACTAATAAACCTCAGTTCCAAGAAATCATATCGTCTACCAATACATTTACCGATGAAGCAGAAGCCCTTTTGAAAAAAGCTATTCCGGACCAAAAGGATCGGTTTCTACTTCAAGAAAAACTTTAAATAAGTACTTCAATCAAAAAATTCAAACACAATAGAAAGATATGGAAAAATTGCGCCCAATAGGATTTGAACCTATACCAAAGGTTTAGAAGACCTATGTCCTATCCATTAGACAATGGACGCTTTGGTGCTTCTTTTTTGCGTCTTACCCCTCAAAATTATTTGTAACAATAAATAATTAGATCGGATTCTAGGTGATCTTTTTTTATTGTCTATTCCTATTCCCCTTTAAAAATATTCTCATTAATGAGCATCTCCAAATAAATCTTTCAAATAATAATCAAATAATAATTTTTTTATTCCATTTTTATTCAATATGAAATTCAAAATGATTTTCTACTTCCTTAGAAAACAACGCCCGGTTGAGTAAGGACCGGGCCGTGCGAACAAGAATAGCCTTTTCAACATTTAAATAATTGAGTAAAAAATCAAAACAAAACATCTTATAACTCTTAATTTAGATTTTTATAAAATAATATAATAAAAATATTTAAATAATAGATTGAAAAGCATAATCAAAATAAAAAAAATTACTTAGTTCTATGTTTATTATAAAATAAGAATTCTCTAAATAAAATTTGGAGAGATGGCTGAGTGGACGAAAGCGTCGGATTGCTAATCCGGTGTACGAGTTTTTCGTACCGAGGGTTCGAATCCCTCTCTTTCCATTTTTGTGGATCGTATTATTTCTTTTTTTTTTTTTTTTTTATTTGCAAATTCGTTTTATTTTATTCTTCACGTCCAGGATTACGCCTTGGATCATTAGATAGGAACCCAAAGATAAATAGAGAAACAAAAAAGATGACTACTGTGTATACGAAGAGTTTGAGAGTAAGCATTACAAACCTCCAATATTTTTTATTGAAAAAAAAATAAATAGAATATATTTTCTATTTTGAGACCACATAGGTACTATAAGGTACCAAGAAAGAAAGTTGAAATAGAGTTAATTTTCTAAAGAAAAAAATTTCATAAATCAAATTGAAATAAGAGTTTACCAAATTAAATATGGGGAATGGTCCTAATCCTAGTAGAGTCTTTTACTATAAAAAAAAGCTTTAAAAAGCAAGGAAGTTCTTATTCTTATTTTACTCAATTTGTTTAATTAAGTATTTCATCGAAAACTAACAACAGCCTGCCAAACAAAAGCTAAAAGAAAAAAAAGAACAGGTATTATTGGCATAAAATCGACGATTGGATTCAAAAAAGCATAAGATTCGGGCAATTTGCCGAATAAAAAACTACTTGAATAGAAGACAGAATTAAGACAGATAAAACTAAGCATAAAAGACATGTTTTTTTTGATAATGAATTATTAAGATATGATTTTTATAAAATTAATATAAAAACATTATATTGAATTCGTAGGGCGGGCGCAAAATATTGATTCCTCTTTTTAATTGAACCCTTCACAATGACTAGAAATATTTCAATATTTATAATACACTATAATAGAATATAGACAATATAATAATATACAAAAGAAATAAATTAACACATAAAAAAAACCAGAACCATAGAATCAAATTGATATCCATTTTAAATTCAATAGACAAAAATAAAATGGTTATTTAATTTTTGAAGTGTTGAAGTGGGGCGTGGCCAAGTGGTAAGGCAACGGGTTTTGGTCCCGGAATTCGGAGGTTCGAATCCTTCCGTCCCAAATCTTTTTGATCTTATTATTTCTATCGAATAGAAATAGTCTATTGAGATAGAAATAATAGAGAGAAAATAATCTATCTACCTAAATAAAATATATAGAAAACCTAAAAGGATAGTATGTTTAGAGACAACTCAAACCAATACTAGAACCTATGACTATTAAAGATTCCCTGATTTAATCAAGTACATATTGGTTCCAAATTCTAAGAAAGAATATTATGGTCCAACGTGGTTTGCAACGATGTGGTATAAATCAACATGTCACTTTAAAGATGAAAACCAAGATCCGTTATCTTGTTACATCCACCATTTTTTTTTATAAATAAAATAATAGGTTATTGGCTTTATAGCAGTGAATTTGTTCCATATGATCTAAATAATGCTATTTTGTAATAGAAAGAGATTTTGATGTATATAGTTTATATAGTTATAGTTATGGTTTTTTTGTATAAAAAAAGGAGGAACTTAAAATAGATTTACAACTAGAGAGATCGAAAGAACAGAATTTCCTTTATCCACTTTTATTTCAGGAGTATATTTATGTCCTTGTTCATGATCGTGCTTTAAGTGGTTTAAAAGGGTCAATTTCTGCTGAAAATATAGTATATAAAAAAAAATTTAGTTTTCAAATTGTGAAACGCTTAATTACTCAAATGTATCAACAGATACAGCTCACTAATTGTTATTATAAAAAAAGTCAAATTTTTAGAACCAGCAAGTTGTTCTATTGTAACCAGTTAGCTGAGGTTTTTGCTTTTATTTTGGAAATTCCGTCTTATTTAAGATTCATATCAGAGCGCAAAAAAAAAAAACTCTTAAAATCTAATAATTTACGTTTACGGTCAATTCATTCCATATTTCCATTTTTTGAAGACAATTTATCACATTTAAATTTGGTATTAGATCTACTAATTCCCTCCCCCCCTCATCTGGAAATCGTGGTTCAAATAATTCGGTATTGGGTCAAAGAGGCTTCTTCTTTACATTTATTACGCTTCTTTCTATATGAGTTTTACAATTTTCAAAATTTGAATACTCCCAATAGGTCCCATTACATTTTGACAAAAAGACCTGAGCGGCTTTTCTTCTTTTTATATAACTCTTATTTATATGAATATGAATCCGTTTTTGTCTTTCTCCGCAACCAGTCTCTTCATTTAAAAGCAATCAGTTTTCGAGCACTTTTGGAAAGGAATCTTTTCTATGGAAAAATCGAATGCCTTTTAGAAGTATTTAATGAGGATTTTTCTGCAAGTATCCGTTTGTTAAAGGCTCCGGATCTTTCAATGCATTATGGTAGGTATAGGGGAAAGTCAATTATGGCATCAAAAGAAACGTTTCTTTTGATATCAAAATGGAACTATTATATTGTAAAATTTTGGGAATCTTATTTTTCTCTTTGGTTCCATACTGGAAGAATAAATAGAAATCAATTATCCATCCATTCTTTTTCATTTATGGATTATCTTTCAAGTATTGTAGTAATCCCTTCAATAATACGAAGTCAAATGTTAAAGAATTCATTTTTAATAAAAAATGCTATTCATCAATTTGATACTGTTGTTCCAATTATTCCTATCCTTAGATCCCTAGCTAAAGCTAAATTTTGTAATGTACTTGGGAATCCCATTAGTAAACCGGGTTGGACCGACTTCTCAGATTCTGAGATTATTAAAAGGTTTGGGCGGATATGTCGAAATTTTATTCATTATTATAGTGGTTCTTCCAAAAAAACCAGTTTGTATCAAATAAAGTATATACTTAGGCTTTCTTGTGCTCGAACTCTAGCTCGGAAACACAAAAGTACTGTACGCGATTTTTTAAAAAGCTTGGGCTCGGAATTTTTAGAAGAATTTTTTACATCGGAAGAACAAATTTTTAATTTCACGTTTTCAAAGGCTTCTTCAAATTTGAGGCGAGTTTATAAAAGGCGGATTTGGTATTTTGATATTGTTTGTATCGAAGAGCATATTAATTTTTAAAAATTCATGCATCTTGTCAAATTCAAATTTTTACCAAATTATAAAATTATTAATAGAGGCA